TGTGCAAACTGCAACTGTTTCAAAAGTTTTTCTCTCCTTTCCATTGGGAAAACTAGGGTCCTTTGGGTGGCAGAGTAGAGCAGCAGCAGCAGCAGCAGCTGGAAAATGGTGATGGGGTGGGGAAAGAGGGTGCCGCAACCCACACCGCTTGCCGCGTTGAAAGTTGGCTGATATGTCGGCATCAACAATGATGATGATGACGGGAATGTGAATGTGAATGTGGATGGACGCGTTGCAGTCTGCAAGTGTGTGTGTAGGCGTCTGTGTGTGGGTGTGGAAAGTTATAACCCCAAGCCCAGGAGAGATCTCTCCTCTCTCGTTACCTCTACTCTGGACAGCAGTTAAGGATTGCCTGCATCTCGGAATGCGGATGGCATGCAGAGTGTGCTGGGGATGCAATCTACACCAGGTATTTGCCACCGTAAGTGAGCATAATTACGTTAAATTGAACTCCAAGGAATTGGACAGGGATCAGATCGGGTTAATGTTTGCCTATAGTTACTCACCTGGCTTAGATTTGAGTAGGCCTAAGGGTTACGCTAGCTTAAGATAGATGATCAATCCAGAGAGTTTGTGGGAAAGAGTTTGGTTTATTAACTTTTTATCTTAATTAAATGGAAAGAGAAAGAACATAGAAACTTTAATCTGTTTATATTTCATATGCAAGTAACTTATTTTTACCTAATAATTCGTTTCCTTGCCTTATTAAGTTCCTTAAATTATCTATAAAATCGAATTACCTTCTCTGCCCTGTGTTTTCCTGCTTGTCGCCGGCAATTAAAAATCAAATTCGCTTTGCTCTAACGCTTTTCCAAATGAGATTTCGCTCGTTCCCTATACAAGTATATATATATATCTCCTATATAAATCTTTCTCCCCACCAACCGTTCTTCCTGGCGCTGTCATAATTTCGTTAAATAACGCAGCTCGGACACCTCATTGGATGGGTTTGGATTGGATTGGTTTGGAACGCAGTGGCAGTGACAGTGGCAGAGCAGGATCCTATGCCAGCGGGGGGAGTTGGTGTTCAGAGGCAGCTAGTTTATGTCACACAAATATCCAATGACAGACGCCCAACGGGTGGGCTAGCAACCACCCACTCAAACCCCTGGAATTCCCTTGGCTTCATTTTGGATTTTTTGGCTTCGCTGCCAAAATAAGGCAAGAAAAAAACAAAAAAGAAGGAAAATCAAAAAGAATATGGCCAAAAATATATAGGAAAGAAAGCAAATACTAAAGCCCAGACTAAATCATGTTGGGGGCAGTTGTTAGTGGGCGTCGGTGGGCGTGGCCTCTTTGCTAATTTCATTGACTCTTCAGTTTTTTTTTGGTCGCCTGCCAAGCTGCACCAAGTGCTTGTTGGTTGGGTTTATGAGTTACTTTTGGCTCTGTTTTAGTTACAGATGAACTTCTTTGGAGAAAAACTAAACGGAAATTATAGGAAAAAGTTTGGAAAATGTTTATTTATTTTGCTTTAAAAGGTGGATCTTTGTTTTGAAAGGAAAACCCATGGCTTTGTTCTGAATTTTGGTTAGTTTTTGGTATAAGTTTAGGAAGGGTATTTGATTTGGGTTTTGGTTAGCTGGAAAGCCTCTTAAGGATTAAGGATTAAACAGAGTTAAGAGTTAAGAGTTTTATTTACATGTTTTTAACCTTTCTGATTGCATTTTAGTTTAGCTAAATACTTACTAGAGACTGAAGAAGCCGTAATAATTAATCATAGAAACCTTTTGTTGAGATTTTTCGCACCTGCTTGTTTCTGTTTTTGGGTCTGGCAAGTTTTTTAATTACTTTAAGTGCAGGCGGCCACCAAGTTCCGTCACTCTTGTGGCGGTTAAGGGGTACAGTTGTGCCTGGTCAGCCAAGCGGAGTTGAAGATGAAGATATCTGTGTGTGTGTGGAAAGCCCTTGGAAAATGAAGGGGACCGCAGTTCCTTTGGAGTTTTATGTTCTTCGTTTTGCTATATTTGTATTTTTTTTTTTTTTTGTTCTTCATACTTCGGCCTTACATGTGTCACACACACATGCAGGCAGGATAGTCACATATATCATTGTCAAGTCTATATGCAAGGCATCCCCCACTGTCCTGTGCCCCGGCTTGTAGCAACCTCCGCCTCCTTCTCTTTCCATCCTGGAATATCATTCCCTTGACAGCGCGTGGGGCGTGCGGCAATCTTTTTGGCTTGTCAAATGCGCATTTCCTGCTTAGAGTCCTTGCTGCCTTGCTTGCTGCCTCTCTTTTTGAATGTCAGTGTGTGTATGAGCGAATGTGTGTGTGTGTATCTCCTCTTTGAGTGTATCTGTGTTTGTCTCCAGCGCAATCAATATGGCGGCGCTGGGGTAATAGCTGCAGGATTTACGCGCTCGTGCGGCGTCTCCGGTTTGCCCGCAATCTACCCGCCCATCCGCCTACGCCTTCGCCCATTCGCAGTTACCTTTAAACTTTTTTTATTGATATTTTATGTATTAGTGGGGGTGTATCTGCTAGTGGGTGGGTGTCTATGTGAGAGTGGGTGAGTGAGTGAGTGAGTGAGTGTGTGTGTGGATGGCCGGGTTTTTGTCTTCTTATGAAAGCTGCTGCTGTAATGATTTGTTTTATGAACTTGTTCTTGGCTTCGATCCGCAGCCCATCGATGTTTAACCAAGGACCATCGACTTTATTATGGGGAAGGGATTTATGTCTGAGTAAGGAGGTAGAGGGGTGTTGAGATCCTTGGGCGTTTTAAAGCCAACAAGTTATTTAACTTGATTAGAAGAAGGGGATGCAGTGGGAGAAAGAAGTAAGTTAAAGGCAAATTCTTATTAGAAGAGTTTTTACCCAACAACTAAGAATGAAATTTCCTTAAAAGAGTTTCTGCTTGACTAACTTTCTGCTTAAAATCTTAAATCATAAACTTTCCCCACTTCCTTTTCTCTATCTGTAAAAAACCACACATATCATGCCTAAAACCTTATTCCATTTTCCACTCTAAGGCAACATTTTACACCTTACCTTTAGACTCCGAGAGGCAGGTGCATGATTTATGGCCAACATTCGAACGGAGTGGGTGGGTGGGTGTTTGGTGGTGGTGGGTTCTGGGTGGTTTTGTTAGAAGGTTGACTCCCCACACATGGCGGCGACCAATGCCAAAGCCAAGGCACTAAACTTCAATTAGCCCCGTGGAGAGTCCATGACTTTTAATCAGCGTACTTTACGCCACTCACTCGCGACCAACCTACCTCTCTCTTTCTCTTTCTCTCTCTCTTTGTCCTGCTTTCAACGTGCTACTTCCACGCGAACTGGAAATGAAAATGCGTGGAGCTGCAGAAAACACACAATAAATTAAACCAACAAGCAATTACAGCAACGGTGGAAAATGAAAGGAGGCGCAGGAGCAAAGGTTAGAGGTGGAAAAGTTAGGCAGTGAAGGTATCCTGGAAAGAAGTTATTAGAGTAATGAGAGTGATAGCAGAAATAATATTTTAAATATTCATTATTTATATGAGAGTACTTTTAAGTTACTCTCCTCTTACCCCTATATACCCTTTACTCTACAAATTAAGGGGTACAAACAGGCAAACGCGACCGCAAAGTTGCTTAGTGCGCTTGGTGTTGCTGCTGTTCTTGTTGCTCCTTTTTGCTATTGCTTTTGCTAATGGTCACACATGAAATATAAAAACCCCTTTTTAAAAGAGGGGAAGGGGTAAAGAAAACTAAGCCTTGAATTATCCCCCAAGCACAGTGGCTAAAAATCAAGGGAAAATCTCCATCAACAACCATGCAAAACTATGAGAAACTTCGATTCGAGGGTGTGCGGTGTGTCCGGTGGAAAGATTTATTTGCTGGCCACAGATTCGAGTGTGGCAACGAGGTGGCTTGGATTTCCGAGGGCAAACACTCGAGGGCAATGGGGTGGTTGGATGGTTTGGTTGGGTGAGTGTGAGTGTGAGAGTCGTCATGGTGGGATGGCATTGAAGTTCCAGGGTCGATCGCTGGCCCGTTGTCCTCCGCTCATTTTGCATGTCGCCCGGCGCTCTTTTCGGGGGCCCATTACAATAACAAATGAATGGCAAATTTGCTGCTCAGTGGGGGGAATCCCCCGCACACATACACATAGATATGCGAGAGCAGTAGAGCTTACATACACACAGGCAGGCAGGCAGGCAAGCAGTCAGACAGACGCAGCAAAGTAGACTATGAAAAAGTGCCGAAAGATTTATGCTTGCCTCTGGCTTCTCTCTCCATCTCTCTCTTTCTCTGTGTGTGTGTGTGTATTTGGCAGTCAATGCGGATTCGAAAGCCATTCTGGCGATAATAAGCTTGAAAGCCTGCCACCCAATACCAAATCCACCCACTCTACTTGCTAGAGTGTGTGCGTGTATGTGAGGGCGACACATCGGGCTGACAGCAAATGAGACAGCTGCAAATGGAGAAGGTGTTGGCCTGCCTTGGTTTTCTGGGCATGGCCATGGCTATGCCAAGCTATGTGTCGGGTATTAGCCCCAGAAATCCCTAGCACTGGCATGCCAGGCAAATTACCAAAGTGCCAGCAGCCGGTGACAACCGTTCGAGTGGCTTGTCGAATGCTTTGGGTGCAAGTCTCCAACATAACGCCAATAAGATCAAAGATCCATGCGATATGCCTGAAGTCGATTTCATCTTCTTTTCAAAGTCTCTTTCATCCTGAAGTGGCAAAGGAGTTGCTAAAGAGATTGGGGAAGTACCTTTTCGGGAGTTTTTTTTGTTTGTTGTCCTCGAAAGGGTTTCCAAAGGATAGTGGAAGTTCATCCTATTTGTAGTGGAATACCTAATCTAAACTTCAAACGTCTACTTAGCCAGCCTTACATCTTACAGATTTTCTGCCCTTTCTACTACTTTTGATATAGTTTTCCAGTTTGTGATGCCATAAGCAACCTTTTTCTTAAGCAGATGTATAAAATCATCTACTTTTATCTCAACATCTACTTTTAACCAATCAATTACATAACTAATCCCTCTCTATTATCTCATTCCCTTACAGGTATCGGCTGGTCAGCATCTGCATCTGAGTGGCGACATGAAGAGCAACGTCTCGGTGGCCGCACAGCAAGGTGTCTTCTTCAGTCAGCAGCAGGCGCAACAGCAACAGCAGCAGCAGCAACAGCAACAGCCCGGCGGCAACAATGGACCCAATCCCCAGCAGCAACAGCAACAGCCGCATGGCGGCAACGCTGGTGGCGGAGTGGGTGTTGGCGTCGGTGTGGGTGTTGGCGTGGGCGTGGGCAATGGCGGTCCCAATCCTGGACAGCAGCAGCAGCAACCAAATCAAAACATGAGCAATGCAAATGGTAAGTTTAAGGAGCGTCTCTCTTACATCCCAATCTAATCTTAAATCAATTTCAGTTCCCTCCGATGGCTTCTCGCTCTCCCAGAGCCAAAGCATGAACTTCAATCAGCAGCAACAGGCTGCAGCGGCGGCGGCAGCTGCGGCGGCAGCGCAACAGCAACAGGCGGCCGCCCAGCAACAGCAAGTGCCGCCCAATATGCGCCAGCGTCAGACGCAGGCGCAGGCAGCGGCTGCAGCAGCGGCGGCAGCAGCGGCGCAGGCGCAAGCGGCGGCCAATGCCAGCGGACCGAATGTGCCGCTTATGCAGCAGCCGCAGGTCGGAGTGGGCGTTGGTGTGGGTGTGGGTGTGGGCGTGGGCAATGGCGGAGTGGTCGGCGGACCTGGTGCCGGCGGACCCAACAACGGTGCAATGAATCAAATGGGCGGTCCCATGGGTGGCATGCCGGGCATGCAGATGGGCGGACCCATGAACCCGATGCAGATGAACCCCAATGCTGGTGGTCCGTCCGCTCAGCAGATGATGATGGGCGGCGGCGCTGGCGGACCGGGTCAGGTACCGGGACCGGGTCCAGGACCCAATCCCAATCAAGCCAAGTTCCTGCAGCAGCAGCAGATGATGCGCGCCCAGGCGATGCAGCAACAGCAGCAGCACATGTCCGGAGCCCGTCCGCCGCCGCCGGAGTACAATGCCACCAAGGCGCAGTTGATGCAGGCCCAGATGATGCAGCAAACGGTGGGCGGTGGTGGTGTCGGTGTCGGTGTCGGAGGTGTAGGGGTGGGTGTGGGTGGAGTCGGCGGCGCAAACGGCGGTCGCTTCCCCAACAGCGCTGCCCAGGCGGCGGCCATGCGGCGCATGACCCAGCAACCCATCCCGCCGTCCGGGCCAATGATGCGTCCCCAACATGCGATGTATATGCAGCAGCATGGTGGAGCCGGTGGTGGACCAAGGAACGGTATGGGTGTACCGTATGGCGGAGGAGCAGGTGGACCAATGGGCGGTCCGCAGCAGCAGCAGAGGCCGCCAAACGTCCAGGTTACGCCCGATGGCATGCCGATGGGTTCGCAGCAAGAGTGGCGGCACATGATGATGACGCAACAGCAGACGCAAATGGGCTTCGGCGGTCCAGGACCGGGTGGACCCATGCGCCAAGGACCCGGAGGATTTAATGGTGGTAAGTTTAGGATAGTTAGAAATCCCATGGATTACCTTACTTATATGGTCATCTCCCTTTTTTAGGCAACTTCATGCCCAATGGTGCACCTAATGGAGCAGCGGGCAGCGGACCCAATGCTGGTGGCATGATGTCCGGTCCGAATGTGCCGCAAATGCAGCTAACTCCAGCTCAAATGCAGCAGCAACTGATGCGCCAGCAACAACAGCAGCAGCAGCAGCACATGGGACCTGGTGGCGGCAGCAACATGCAGATGCAACAACTGCTGCAGCAGCAACAATCCGGTGGCGGTGGCAACATGATGGCCAGCCAGATGCAGATGACCAGCATGCACATGAGCCAGACCCAGCAGCAGATCACCATGCAGCAGCAGCAGCAGTTCGTGCAGAGCACCACCACGACCACACACCAGCAGCAGCAGATGATGCAGATGGGCGGTCCAGGAGGCGGCGGTGGCGGTGGTGTGCCGGGATCGGCCAGCAATAACAATGGTGGTGGCGGCAACGGTGGCGGAGCACCGGGCGGTGGCAACTCTTCCTCGACCATTGCCAGCGCCAGTTCCATTAGCCAGACGATCAACTCGGTGGTGGCCAACTCGAATGATTTGTGTCTCGAATTCTTGGACAACCTGCCCGTGGACAGCAACTTCTCCACGCAGGATCTGATCAACTCCCTCGACAACGACAACTTCAACCTGCAGGACTTCAACATGCCGTAGATGTCCAGAGGGAACCACTCAAACACCACCTCCAGCCAGCACCAAACACAACCACACCAACCACCACCACCACCATCATCATTATAACCACCACGATGTTGCCTCAGTTTTGTTTAGATCTTTATTTTGTTGCCTCTTGTTGTTATTGGCCTGGGCAGCCGGACCCAAACGCCCAACCGCCCAACCGCCCTACCACCCCTCCCACATGGCCCCCGTTCCTGCCAACGAAGTTATTTTGTTTGTTATTTGTGTGTGAATTTATTCCTAAGCTAAGTTCGTTCGTCTCTATGTACTCTAATTTCGCGTGGGCTCCACTGTATTGTATTGTATTTGTATTTGTATGTATTATTAGAGCTGTTCCCAAGGTCCAAGGGCGAGCGTCGTCCAATGGGCGTGGCAGTGGCGGCGAGAGTTCGCAAGACATTCCATATGCAACGGTCGAACTAAGGAATTAGGGAAATTCAAAAAGTATTTCCAAGTACTTTAAAATCAAACCGAAAAAAAATACACTTTTAAAATTCACACATACACCCCAATACACTCACACAGAGAGAGACTCGTTGTGCAACTTAAGCACTTGTACTTAATGCAAATTTTTATAGTGCCACGCCCAGCGGATTGCAAACGCCCCATTTCGTTTGATTACTTAAGCAAAAAACCAGATGAAATGACGGAAGCAAACGCAAAAAGCAAAAAGAACCAACAACAAAACAAAATCGAAGAAATCGAAAAACAAAACACAAAATAGTTGTACATTTTATATTGTATTTAATTTAATTTAATTTTTATAATCGACAAACTAAAAGAAACAAACAAACAAAGAAAAACAAAGCAAAAAAAATGGGAAAACTAAATCGAGAAACTGTCAGAATAAAGAGCAAAAATATTGGTGATATTTTAAATGCTTAAAAACACAAATTGAGAACTAAGCGAATCAAATGAGAAAACAACAAATAACCGTTGACCACAAAAGCGAAAAAAATATGAAAGGGAAGAACTTTTTAAAACCAACAAACATCAATTTGAGAATGAGAGAAACAGTTATTATTATATTATATTATAATTATTATTGTACATTAATTTTTTTAGACGAGTTCATTTTTAAATGGAATTTTAAACGCGGAGCAAACAGTGCGAGAAATGCGCAAACAAAACATATTTAAAAAATATACACTATATATATATACATATATATATATATATATTATGCGTAGTTTTTGGTAGTGAAACGTAATTAGTAGTTTGTTAAATAAATTGATATACACCCACAAATACATAATACATATACAAGAATCATATATATATATATATATAGATATATATGCGACCGATATATTTGATTACTGTAAAAGCAGCGCTAACAATTTACGAGTATATAATTAGTCATAAGTCGCCACAAAATGTTTGAGGAGATAAGCGGAGATCGAAATTTATATTTACTACATGCGCCTGGCCGCATTACCAAGTGATGCCATGCCAAGCCAAGCCACGCCCACACATATAAAAAACAAGAGAATAGGAGGACGAACAATATTAGAGCAAAACAACATTTGAAAAAAAAATGAAAATCGCGAAAAAACAAAGCAAACGAAAAACGCCAGAGATTCCAGCAATGAAATTATTGTACGACAACTAATTAGAGCAATTCCATAAGTCCGTAAGTTAGACGATCAGTTGAGGCCATAGAAATTTTTGAATCGGGCACAGCGGTTGCCACTTCCACAATTATATAGTAACAGACAGCTCACAGCCATTTTTGCAGAGTTTACATTAATTAGGATCAGCAACAACAAATCCATAGCACACGCCTAGCAAAAAAAAATATATACATAAAAATAAATTTAATGAAAAAAGTATTTAAGCCGCAGACAAACAAAACGATAAAAATCTAACAAAATTTACTATTACAATTATAAATGAATAAAAATACGCGAATTGTAGTTTGTAATTAATGCTAAAGATACGAAGTAAAAATTTGTTTATAACTATTATATACCGCAAATTATATATACACTATTATTACTATATACAATATGGCATATTATTATTACATATATATTTCACCATGAAAACAACAAACTAGCGAGCAAAATCGTAAGGTGTTCAGCAGCCGCCTCGCTAAGCAGTTCCATTGATCAGTTTCCCTGCGAAACTCGAGGGCCAATCCCGGCGAGAAACAGAAGCAAATCCGAACTTGATATCAATTAACAAGAAACAACAAGCAACCAGCTGCCAGGCTCAAACCTAACATAAAATATTTACCAACTCGAATGTTTAGTATTGGACAGAGCAATGGCATTGCAATGGCTTTAGGCCTGTTATTATTTCACACAAGAGTAAAATCGATTTGGGCAAGCCTTTGGTTTTCTATTTGCATTTGATTGGTGCGTGAGCCTTCTGTTTGTCGTTCTGTTGTTCTCCGAGATTGAACGAAATGTTGGGAAGCAAAAACAAACATTTAAAGATGTTCTTTTACGATTTAAAATGGAAAGTAAAAAAATAAAATAGAAAAATATTACTTTTGTAAATAAAATGAATGCTGTTTTTATTTCTGGGGCTATTTTTTTGGATGTAAATGATGGAAGAAACTGCAAAGGTTTTACGTTGGCCGATTTAGAAGATTGAAGAAAGCGTATTCGATATATAAATACTAGCCGAAAATGTTATAAATTTTTTTTATTACCACACAATTTTCAAATCAGAAAAAAATGAAATCCTGAAGAAATTATGGTTGTGTGACGTAGAAGGCGGTTGTAATATTTTACATTTTACATTACAGATTACATTATACATTATACACAGTTTATCGCCGAGTGGAAAGAAAGTACCCAAAAGTCAAATCTTACGACATCATGAAATTTCTATCTTTCGAATCTTAAAAACTAGGAATGTTAAGATTCAAATACAAACATTTTTGATATAGTTTTCATTCATATTTATTAATTTCTCATACGCATGTTCATAATACATAATTGCATATTTTACGACTTAAGATAAATATTTCCATATTATTCCATTTTAAATACTTGCTTTAAAGTGTATGTGTGGGTGGTGTGTGCTTTTATCGTTTAACATTATCATGGGGTGTAGGCATATTCAATAATAATCCTTCTATATAGCTTTTGCAAAACATTCGCGATTGCAGCGGCACGTACTGCATATGAGTACCCATTAAGTGGTAATGGGAACTGCAAGTAGTCATACGAGACATGTGTGTGTTGGACCTAACTGAGCACTCCATGTGGATTTACTAGACAGTTGAACTTAAAAATTAACAAGCTTGATGGCTAATCATATTTTTGTGTGGTGGAACTAAAACAATTTACAAATAATTAGCAACTATTGCGAGAACTAAAAAGTGTGCTAAAACCTAATTATATGCTAGAGTTTCCAATATATAATATACTCGTATGTTTATGTATATGGTTTAGTTTTAGGTTTACTAACTTTTCAACACTTAGATGCTAGTGCTAAAGGTGCGCGGCCCGCCAATTCGAACGATTTCATTATATTTCCATCCAATTCTTGCAATACCTCAAAGAGTTTTCGTTTAAACAATGTTAAATGCATCAATCGCTTCCTTGGTTAGTTGAGTTCTTCATTATTATTATTATTCCATTCAGTTTGTGTACGAGAATGATGTTTTCGATTTCTGTGTTCTGTATGTATGTATGTATTATGCAATAAAATCAGCCTTAGTTATAATAATTGTTACTCGTGAAAACGCATTTATAAGTTTTTGGGTTGCCTATGACGATATTTGCATTAAGCGCTGGCAAATATTTGAGAACCTCTTTCAATACAATACGTTACTCTCTTTTATCTCAAATCTTCTCCTGTAATACTCTGGCAAGTTAAAGTTTTTCTCTAAAAAAACAATTATACAAAAAATCTTTTAAAAGTAAAAATCTGTAAATTTTACTAGCAAAAATTTACGTTTTGTTTTCAATTTCGATTTTTCTTATTATTTTTTTGTTTTGCATTTCGATTATAAAATTGCCGCCTATTGAAATATTTGCTTTTATAAATATTTTATTTATTTAAAAACATTATACGTTTTAATCATTTTAGTATTTGTTAGTTTAGTTTAGTTGACTTGACTTGACTGGAAATTCGGCTAAATGCTCAAATTCAAAGATTATTGTTACTCGGTGCAACTTCCTCTGCCTCCTCCCTGCTTTCATTAGGCATATAAAACCTACGCTAGTTGTTGTGATTAGAGTAATGTTAATGTCGTTTAAATGTTTTGTGCACTAGTCGAACACGAACACGAACACGAATGATCAATGGATGGATGCTGTGAATAAATGAACTTGCATGGCGCTGCCGCTGGCTCTGGCTCTGGCGCCCTTTCAACATTACGAACTAAGATCGGATGTGGCATGGAATCCACATAAACTTTTGACACAGTTCGAAAGCAAACTGAAAGATTGAGTTCTAGACTGCCTTTCAGTTTGTTTTCAATGCAGTAGCATCGGTAGGGGATCGGTTAACTAATCATAAAATATTGCATACATACTTGCTGTTCGATTACGAATAGCGATTAGTTGCTGCTCGCGGGCAGCCTACATAAATTTATATCACACGCAATAAATATAATAAAAAGTAATCAAAGTTTTCGAAATCAAGTTAACTGGAGTTCGAACACGCCCCCTTGCCATACACCAGATGTGTGGCAACAATTTGATTTGCAACTGAAAAGGTCTTTGCTACTCATTTCCTCCGATGCAGGCAGTTGCAGCTATTCGTTGTGAGTGGCAATGACTGGTTGACTTACACTAACTAACGATTTAACGATTTGGCAAACGGTTGATTTGATACCCCCCACGGCTTAGTTTAGTGCAACCTATGGTGATTGGCCTTGGGCATGGCCCCTACGATACGGACCCTTCCCAAGGTGCCGACAGCTCCAGCGCCAGCGCCGCCAGACAGCCGCTGGTGCATCTGCAGCATTTGTTGCTGCTGCAGTTGCTGTTGCAGTTGCTGCTGCTGCTGCTGTTGCTGCTGCTGCTGATGCTGCTGTTGCTGTTGCTGCTGTGGATGGTATTGGCTAGTTGGCAGATGCGGCTGCGGCGCGTGCTTGGCATCGTTGCAATCGCAGAACTGCGGCGGTGGCGCCAACACCAGATTATCGGTGCACAGCTGCTGCAGATTGTTGTTGCCCGGCTGCACCGCAGCCGCCCCAACGCCCGGAACGCCAGCAACAGCGCCAGAGGCAACAGCCACCAGCTGTCCGCTGGGCAGCATGCCCACAATATGGGCGGCCATTGGCTGTTGCTGCTGCTGCTGTTGCAGTTGTTGCTGCTGAAGTTGCTGCAGCTGGTGTGGGTGAGAGTGTGGGTGGGTCTGTGACGGGTGATGGGCCTGTTGACGCTGGAGCGTCAACTGCGACGGCTCTCCATCGCTGTCCGCTTCGAGTGGTGGCGGTAGCTGCATCAGGGATACCGCCGTGGTCCTTGTGGCCCCCCTTTGCATGGCAATTGCTGCCGCCTGTTTGCGCGTCAACGAATTGTGACGCTGGAAAGCCTTGGCCGGGGGCGAGGGACTTAGATCTCCGTCATCATCTTCCAAATCGGAACGGGTCTCCATTTCCGATTCGTGGCCACTGCTAGTGCCCTTGTGCAGCTTCTGCTGATGCTTGGCCACCAGGGCGGCAGTATTGCTAGCTCCACCGGCTGCTGCAGCCTTCGCCTTGAGGATCTGTTGCAGATGTTGCTGGTGAGCCAGCTGCTGTTGCTGCTGCTGCAGTATCTGTTGCTGAGTGGCGATCAGCTTCTGATTGGGATTCGACGACTGTTGCTGCTGCTGATGATGATGCACGTTGGGAATGCGTCCTAGGACCTGAGGACTCATCACATTGCTGTTGATGTTGCTCTGCTGCGTAAACTTGTTGCTGTTGGCGACTGTCACTGGTTGCTTGCTGCCCAGTTGCTGCTGCTGCTGTTGGATAGCTGGTGCATGTTGCTGTTGCACAAGTTGTTTCACTGTCAGGGTAGCTGTGGGTACTACACTTGCCCCTCCGCCGCCTATGCTAATAGTGGTCTTAGCCATGGGCTTGGTGGTGTGGCTTGTGTTGCTGCTGATGGGCTGATCGGGAATGGTCTTGGGCTCCTCCACAATGGTCACCGAAGGTTTCTTCTTGATGGTATCGGTGGGTTTACCACCTACTGGCAGTGTAACTCCTCCTGCAGCCAATGCCATCTGTTCCTGTTCGCTACTCACTCCGGAGCTGCTGTTGTCGCACTCATCTTCGCCTGGTTGCAATTGCTGTTGCGGTTGCTGGTGGGATTGCTGTTGCTCTTGTGGTTTCTCCTCCTCTGGTTTCTTGGCGAAGCCGTTGGGCGATGACTTTGATGTTTTGAGATTGCTGCGAATACGCTGGATCTCCTCCACGGAAAGGGAATGCGAAATGGAGGCACTGCCCGAATTGGAACTGCTTCCACTGTGGTGGGGAAAAGAAAGATAAGTAGGGATCCTTCAAGATCAAGTTTTATGACTCTTACCTAGCCTGACTATTTCCACTTGTCTCTGGGACATCGAACAGCGCAATCTTCTCGTTAAGCTTGGTGTTGCGTGCCACCAGAATGGAGTTCTCATCCTCGCCATCCGACTCGCTGCAGCTGTAGTCCGGTTCGGGAATCGGAGGAGCATTTCCGGCTCCACTTGCGTTGCCGTTTCCGTTGCCATTTTGTGCCGGCACTGGTGCTGACTGTGGCAGCGGTGGTGCTGGCGGGGATTGAGGTGCAGGCTGCTGTGGTTGCTGCTGCGGCACCTGTTGTACTTGCACCTGGACCTGAGGTGCGGCATAGTGGGAGGCCAGCACTGTGGGTGTCTGCTGGGGTTGCTGTTGTTGCTGCTGCTGTTGTTGTTGTTGCGGTGGACGCATTTGGGTGGGAGCAGCATATTGACTGACTGGTTGCTGGGAGCCAGCAGAAGTTTCCTGCGTTGGCTTCTCCTGCGCCTGGCGCAACTTCCAGGCCATAACGTTACGCAGCTCCTGGGGCGAGGCATAGATCTTGGCATTTGCCGAGGGATTGAAGCTGCTCTGGACGCCATCGATGGCGGCACTGGTAACGGCATCGTTCTCGGCCCGCTTCTTCAGCTTCTGTTGCAAGGAGATGGTGCTCTCATACTCCGAGACACTGCTGCGTGTTTCCACTTTGACTACTTGGCCCACGGGCGGAGGTGGTGGTGGGTGGTTGGGCGGTGGAAGTACCGCTCCTCCAGGTGTTCCTCCTCCTAGTTTCAATTCTGCCTGATTGGAGTTCAAGCGTTGGAGCGAGGCATGCAGCGTGGCCACATCGTCCTGCGAGTGGTGACCCTTGCCAGCCGCCTGCCAAATGGATGAGGCAGATCCGTGAAGCTGCGGACCATGCAAATCAGGTGTGGAATGGAACCGCTTGAGGTCACGACCGCCTCCTGCTCCGCCAGCTCCCACTGTGGGCGTGGCAACGGGTTTTCCACGCAAGGTGCCGCTGCCATGCTTGCTCCTTGCCGCCTTGCGCTTCATCTCAGCCACACTGCCGTAGACCAAGGGGCCGCTTCTCATGGGCGAACCATTGGCGGCGGGCGGAGTGGCTGCACCACTGTCCGTGCCCGACTGGAAACGGGAGCTGGTCATCATGGTGGCATAGCGACTGGCATTCGCTGCACTGCCCTCGCCCTGCTGCCGCTGGAAGAGTTCCTCCAACTCTGCAGCTGTGATCCTGCTGGACGTGGGTCGCGCCTTGATGCTGGCCGTGCGCAGCTGAACGGGTGTTCCAGGTCCCGTTTGGTTACCAACAACAGCTGGTGTGGCTATGGACTCCACGGAGTTGGATTTGGTGTGCGGCAATTCGTCCTCCTTCTCGCCTCCGTTCTCCAGACCAGCCACCATGGACTTGGCTCTGGCTCTGCCCACGCTCAAAGTAGTCTTGGGATCTCGGCGTGGTGGCATCGGAGCCATACGTACACTGCCCCCGGAGGAGGAAGCACCACTTCCTCCCGGACCCGTCATCTTCCTGGGCAGAGTGGCGCACTGACGATGGGAACTCTGAGGAGTACTTGGTCCACTGTTTAGATGCTGGCTGCCAGCTCGTGCTCCACTGGGCAAATACTGGGCACTGGCCTGCATCTGGTGGGGAAACTGTGGCGAGACAACCGTCAAGTTGACCAGAGCGCCCGCGGAGCGGATCATCTCGACCACCTGCTCGTGGGAGGCGGAGCTGACGTCCTCGCCATTGATGGTCAGCAGGAAGTCACCAGGACGGAGTCCTGCCATGTCGGCCACACCACCGGGATCCACATCGTCTAGGTATTGAAGAGCCGGGAAGCGCTCCGAGGGACGCAGCTGCATTAGCTGAGAACTGGCCTTGGCACCGCGCAGGATGAAGCCGAATCCTCGCTTGGCCCGGTGCAGGACCACCGAACGTGGGGCGTTGTAGGCGCTGTTGGGGGGAGAAGATTAGATTCAGTTTGGAACTTCTTTATGGACACCCAATCCTACCTCTTTTTGATGCGCGGGGCAGTGGCACTGCTGTATTGTCCCACGGAGTGGTTGTTGTTCCTGCTGTTCATCCCATTGCCGGATGCTCCTCCGCCATTGCTCTCCCCTGGCTGTTGGCAGGATCCATTGCTGGCCACCGACAGCGATGGCGACTGATGGGGCTGCTGGAGCAAAGTGCTGGAGCTACCCGAATGTCCACCCAAGCTCAATTGTGGTGATCCCTGATAGGAGGCGGCGGAGGATGCTGGGGCTTGCTGCAGATGCTGTTGTTGCTGCTGCTGCTGCTGGGGAGCCATGCCCGTGCTGGCGGTCATCACATTGGTGATGTGCTTCTGGCGCAGACTCACCTCCTGGACGCAGTCGGCCGGAAAGAAGCCGGACTGATTGGTTCCCCGCACATAGCCCTCGAGCAATCCACAGTCGGTGCTGCCCACCACCTCGATGACATCGCCAGGCTGGAGGCGTATATGACCCACAGTATTGCCAGCATATGGTTCCATGCACACAACCGTGGTGCTGGGATGCCCAATGGAACAGGCTGCCGAGTCCGAGTTGGTTCCCACGCCCGACGAGTCGCTGATTATGTCGCTGGTGTCGCCCAGGGATTTGTCTGTGCGGGTGAGCAGGAGAGGATGAGTGGATGGTTTTTCCAGGATTTTCTTTTCTTTTTTTTTTTTGTATATGTATATGTGAGGCAGAGGACAAACGACTGGCATGCAAGTGGTTCTGGGACACACAAAAGAAGCCTCCGGTTAAGCGGAGCCAAAGCGGATGCTGGAAACGAGGACTGACACGGTTGGTAATGGGGAAAATGCTTAAGAATGAACTGGAAATCTTTGGGCGTTGAAGGAAAACCTCCGTTAGAGAAAGGGATATGTTGAAGGAAAAGTGATTAATCGGGAAATATTCAAATGTGACTAAGAAAGATTGGTTCTCCATTTTTTGTATGTAGAAAAGTCGATTTTCACATAGCTTAAGCTACGTTATTTGGAAGCTAGGAAGTCGCTTTTGAGTTTAGAGTTAAGGTGAGAATCAGAAGTTTAAAAGACTTTAAAGATGTCATTATAGCTGGGTATTGCAATGAGTCAATAATTAAATCTTAAGATATAGTAAACTTAATTAATATTTTGATATATGAATACGATTTCCCTAACAATGTTTTAAAGTAAAAATAATTTAATCTGTGCAATATAGCAGAAAACTCATGCAATTTCATTTTTATTAATCAAAAACTACTTAAATGCATGCTTTAATTTTTATATATATTATTATTATTAGATATTATAAGTATACTTATCCATCTGACGCAGATATATATCTTTAAACTATGTACAAGAATCGAAGACCTAACTTTTCACAATCCCCCTCAAACTTACCACAAACTTAAACTTAGGCAAATGCAAATGAGATGAAAATCAAACCGAAAATCAAAGCCATTCCTCACCTGTCACAATGCTGATGTCATCCTCGTGGGATCGATGGCCGGAGGAGCCCTCGGATAGGCTGGAACTGGCTGAGCTATAGGCTCCCAGCATATGCTCTGAGGGGCAGGGCGATGGCGGGCCATGGAGCTGCAGTGTATGCAGGTGGGGCAACTGCTGCTGCTGCAGTTGCTGGTGGTGATTCTGGTGGTGCTGCTGGTGGTGCATATGCTGTTGTTGTTGTTGTTGTTGCTGATGATGTCCGGCATGGTGTTGGTGCTGCTGGTGGTTCTGATGTTGGCTCAACATCAGACCAACACCGCCAGCCCCGTTATTTCCGTTGGCAGTGCCATTCGTGCCGACCATTGCACCACCGAAACCACCTCCAGCCGCTGCCAGCAGAGCTGCACCGGCGGCTCCGTTGGCGCTCAACCATCCGATGCCCGAGCGACGTTTTGGATTGTAGCGCGGCGGTCCGCGGAAGGGAACTGTGTGGTGATTAAGGATATTCGCTTAGAAATGTGTGTGAGAGTGGTGGGTGGGTTGAGGAGTGGTTCTCATGGTTGGGTTTGGGAGTGATTGGTTAGGTTGTATGTCGGTTTATGTTAGTCAGAGGTGATCTAGTCCAGGACACTTCGTCAGTTACGGATTTCGTTTTAATTTGTTTAAACTCTTTCCCATTTCCCAATTTTCAGTTCGCTCTCTACTCAATCTATTGGGAATTTAAAAGGTCTTGAAATGAGAACAAAAATCAAAAGAAAATTCTAAGGAAAACCCTAAGCCAAGCCAGAGTACGAGCTTAGATGCCATGGACTCTTTACTTACACTTACTTACTGCTCATTTACCGAAGGACAAGCGACTGTTGTGGTAAAAAGCAAAAAGAGAACGAAGGACATTCTAGCAATGTCCTGCCAACGAACAAACAAACTCACTAGGAAATGTGATAAATGTGGATATGAAAGAGAACACTAAAAACATAGAACAAGAACGGCCAAAAAACATTTCCAGTGTGGCATTAACATGAACTATTTTTGATAACAGATTGATAACAGTTGGATAACAGTATGATAACAGTTTGATAACAGTTTAATAACAGTTTGATAACAGAGCAAATATATCTCAAAACAAGCAAATGCAAAATACGAAAATGTGTTTTTGGGTAAAGTATAGGTTAAACTTTATATAGAAACTTTAGATAGTACAAATATTTATATATATATACGATTATTATACATTGATATGGGGAGAGACCTAGATGATCAAGTTGGATGATTGATTGATTGATTGATTGATTGATTGATTGTTGAATGATTGATAAATGATATGCAAGTGTATTCAGAGAGAGAGAGAGAAAAACAGAGATGAAGTGAGACGCTCATGGGGAAAACTGATTCGAACTAAGTGGAAAGGAAACTAGTTTAGAATGTGACCAATATTAAAATTAGATTGAGTAGAGCAAACGAATTCAAAATCAGAAACTAAATAAAATCAAAAACATAACACGAAAGGAATACGTCTTAAGGGCAACCCAAAACATATTCCTCTCGAAATGGGATTTTGAGTTTTGATGAGTATGAAGTTAGTTCGGTTGCGAGTACGAGTCGAGTGTTTTTGTTTTTTTTTTCAGGTGTTGATTGATGGAATGATTGATTGAAATAGTCCAGCACTTACCTATATCCTCTGATTTGTAGTTCTCAATGATTTCAGCCAGCTCCAGGTTGCCGGCTATGACAGCCACCTAATGTTGTAGAAAATAGCATTGGATTAAAGAACCGTTAGACCATGAACCAGTAACCAAAGTTATTAAATCAAAAACTAACTTAGGTACTAAACTGAACTACAAGCATAACTACAGCAGCACAAAAGTACCAAACTTAGAGACTACAAACTACAAGTTATCAACAAAATTCAAAAAGTTTGGTTGGGTCTAGAGGTTACACGGAGAGAAAATGTCATAAAATATATTTTAAAATTTAATTTTTTGATTAGAAGTTGAAAACCAAGTTACAATTTGGATACTAACTAGTTTAAATATCATTTCAAACTAAAAAGATAAACTTTTTTACAGTTTGATAGTTTTTAACAGTTTTAAAATCATTGCAGACCAATGTAAAGACCATCTAGCTAGACATTTTCTCTCTGTATAGTTTCCAGAGTCCAGACACTGGGCTTTACCTGGTAGGGAGTTTGGTTGGCAAAGTTCTGGGCGCCGCGCTGGGCGCCGCGAAAGAGAAGCATTCTAGCACAAGCCTCTTGGTTGTTAACAGCGCACACATGCAGCGGACTATTGCCGGACGCATTGCGGCCGTCCATGTCAGCACCGTAGAACAGCAGGTGTTCCAGGTGCTGTACCAGGCCATGCCGACAGGCCTACGGATCGATTTGGAGACAGCCAAAGGATGCAGCAAAGATGCATATTGCCAACCCGCGGGTTACAAAGTATTAGCAAGCGAATTTTTTTTTTTTTTTTTTTGTTTACAGAGTTAGATAAGAAGAATTCCAAGAGAGAGAAGAGAAAGAGAGAGAGAGAATTCAATCATTAATTGGCTTTCAACGGTTGTGGGCCAACACCATTTCACCGGGATTTGGCTTGGGGTCAAAGCAGTTGCTGTTATGGATCTGTGATCCAGGGTCAAGGACCGCCACCGACTCACCTGATGAACCTCGTTCCAGCCCTGGCTGTCCTGGATTCCCAGTGTGGCATGGTCATGCAACAGACTCTCTGTGATCTTGGCCTCACACTTTCTGGTTATGGAGATGTACAAAGGTGTGATGCCACGCCCATCGCGGTAGTTTGGCGAGGCGCCCAGTTCAAGGAGGGTGCTGCAGGTTAAAAAATAAATCATTAGTATCTGTTTTTTCTTTAAAAAAAAAGTTGAGCTTCCTCTTACCTGACCGCCTCCAGGGAATCGTGCTCCACAGCGCGATGCAGGGCTGTGGTTCCATCCTTGGTCCTGTAATCCAACAAGGCACCTCCATTGACCAGAGCTATGAGCAGCTTATTTGGCTTCTTGGCTCCGGTGGCCACTGTCAGGGGAGTATCTCCACTCTCTGAGCAATGGAAATTTGGATCCAAGCCCTTGGCACACATCTTGGCTATCTTCTCCACATGCCCGCCATTTATGCACTCCAGGAAACGCCTCAGATTGGCCCGTGTGTGCAGAGCCTTCAGTTGGCGTTCATCCAGAGTCAGCATTTTGTACACGCGTCTCTTGTATTTGAGCTTAAGTTTTGGGGAAAAAAATGATATTAAATTAGAAAAAGGAAAACGTGAAAGAATGACAAGGCTTAGAGTTACCTCCAAATATCCCACGGGTCCGTTGAAGGGATAATCGCCCAGGCGGCGTTCTTCATCGAGGAATTTTCCCGCCTTGCCATTAGCAGGTGGGGCGAACAGGCCATAGTTGAAGCTCTCCTTCAGTTCCTGGAATCAAGAATAAAAACCAAGTGGGTGGTGAACATTTGAGTACGTGTGTGTGTGTATGTGGCTGAATCAGGTGCTCCATTGACGTGCTCAAGTCGTGCGAGTCCTACAAAAGACTTCCGGCCTAGCAATTGCTGAACTTCCTCTTGGTACTTGTGAGAGAAACACTGAGAGAAAAAACTTAAGCTATATATATAGCTTTCTGAGCTAAATACTGCCTGAAAAGTTTGACTAAAAGTTTGCCTATTTCGATTGCTATTTTCTTTCAGTGCACAAATAAGCATTGCCTGCTTTTAGGTACATGCGTTGTATCCCTTACAATGTCCTCGCTAATGAGCGCGTGACTGCAGCACCAACTATGTACTGGAGGCCACCTTGCAACATCCATGGCCCAACAGACATGCTGGCATTCATAATTTACCGCTGCCTTTAAGTGGCAATTTCTTGTTTTAATTAAACAAAAAAAGAATTTCCCAGCAGTTCTCCATCTTTTTGCCACCCCGGAAAAGTTGGTCTATAATGCAGATGCGGACTCCCAGAAAATGTCTCGAGTGTATAACGGGTTTGACATTGCCGCTGCATTAATTATGCAAAGTGCGTGTGCGTGTGTGTATGCAGACACACATGAGGCATGTATGGGTTACCGCTTTTCCGTGTTCTATTTGCCTTTAGTCCCCACGCCCTTAAGTGCCTGCTGAAGGCAGTTCCATGTTGCCTCATAATGTGCCAAATGTTGCCATTAAAGTGAACAGTTCGTCGTGGATCCCCCCTTGGCCTGGGTGTGAGCCAGATGTGTGGAAAATGGCTGAAGCAGTGGTTGGGGGAAGATGGCTTATGAGGCAAGGGGAAAGGGCTTTTCTTCCAACTAACTATATTAATGTATTGTCTTACAAGCTGATAGTTTCAGCAGCTGAGTTTGTTAGATAGTTTAGCATTTTACTTCACTTCTGAGTAGTTAATGGTTATAGTTTAGGTATTTAACTTTAAGGTTTTAATAAAAGTTATTTAGAAATTCAAATTCCTTCCTCTTTTAATAAAGTTTAAATACAGAAGCCAACAAGTTATGGGTTATTTGCATACCAGCCAGGCAATATCTGAATGCTATTCCGGCTATGTGCACTCTTTCTTTCCAGTCACGTTTCCGAGACTTTGTTTATATAGTTGGATCCCCGGTTTCATATGCAGCAGTGGCAGGAACAGCAACAGCTACAGCAGCAGCCCTTTTCTTTATGAAGCTAACAGCCCACCCACCCTTCCTTGGCCACATAAATTTCAACCACACAAACTAACACGCCCCCCGAGTAGCTGTTACTCCCACTCTTCATATTTCTCATCCCCAAAACTCCTTCACAAAACAACAAAACACGTTAACGGTTGTGCGCCAAATGGATTTTATGGCGCCACCCTCTGTCCTCTGCCCTTTGGACCGCACCCATTCCCCTGGATGATACTCCAACCCTCATCCTCTCACACCCTGGCTTCTCAGTTACAGTCTCAGTCATGCACATGCAAATTGCAGACACGTCGCTGGCCTAGACCCCAACAAAAACGACGAAGGGTGATAAGTTTTTAGATCGAAATAGGAAATACCCTGCCAATACAGATTGCTTTCAAACTTTGATTAAGGTTTTTGGATATATTTCTGAGTGAATTTAAGTGTTTTTTCTAGATTGAAGGATAATATAACATCCTAGCAGGATCTTTAAGTTCTCAATAAATTTTAAAGTATGAACCTTTTGAAATTCTCAGTCTAATCTTAAGGCTTTCAAAATTGACTTCGCTGTACCGAATGATCTTAAAACTGTTAACAGAGATACAACAACTCAATGGTTCTAAGACCCCCTCGCCTTAAGTTATTCCAAGAACCTTTTTCATTCTTCAAAGCTCCATAAATAACTCCCCAAGTGCAGTGCTTACTGTTGACCAGGATTACAATACCCTCTGCAAGGGTATAAAGGAGCAAAAAGGGATTCCCGTTTTTGGTTTTTTGGGGGTTGCCGCCCGCTCCTGCCCAAAGGGGACTGCTCAAAGTCAAGTTGTTTGCGCAAATTGCATTTTTATGAGTTTTGATTTCGATTTTCCAATCCGTAAGACGGCTCATAAAATAGCGTCGACACTCGGTGGGGATTACAAAAAGCCAAAAAGAAGGGAAAAAGGCAACGGTGCTGGGATGCTGTTTGGAAAAGTAATTTAGAACTTGTGCTCACTTTTTGGCTTTAAAGCACTTTTCAAACTGTTTTTGCTCATTTTGGAGGTTTCGTTTTTTTTTTTTTCGTTTGTTAGCCGTGCGACTATGTTGGCTGCTGTATGTTGGCCATAAATTCAGTTCGGCTGCAACAAAGTGGAGCAGGCGGAATGTGTATTCGACATATTCGGTTGTATTTTTGTGGCAGCGCGGCAGAGAGGCAAGGGGCAGGTGGCTGGCTATGTCCATAAATCATGGAGGAATTGCAACTGCAGCCAAGTAACATAACCAGCAGACCCAATGGCTCTCCGAAGGGTATATAGAAACAAATTGCAATTTGCATGAAATTTACAATATTGTGAAATTGGTTTGCGGGCAATTTGTAACGAGCAGAACGTGTAGGAAAACAAAGAATGCTTCTAAGGATAATTGAAGGTAATTTACCTTAGCTTTTCAGGAATTATGGGAGATTATATGCTTAGAGGGAAAACTAGATTATTATTTAATTTCCCACATAATACATAATAACAATCTTAGGTACATTAGACTTTAACATTGAAGAGCTTAGCACACCCAGCCAGTTGGAGAGTGACTGGGTGCCAGGCTCCGCTGGAATAATTCAATTCAATTTAAGTTTCCAATTGGCAATCTGCATGCACAGCACTTGGTCGCACAGTTCGAGAGCCACTAGAGAAGCAAGTGAGTAGTGAGTGTCAAGCTCAGATGCGAGAATCCAAGTAAATGTCAATGCAATATGTGTAAAGTGCGCTGTGCACTTGCTGCCAGCAAATAAGCGACTTCCTGTTCCAATAAGAAATACTAGCAAGACCCCGGAGGCGACTCGACAAGCACCAACAAAAGACATCATTGATAAATTGTCAAACAGTAGTAGTTGGTGATGTTGTTGTACTTGTTACTGCATTTGTTGCAATTGTTTTCTTGTTGATTGAAAGCAAAGCGAGAGGGAAATAGCTGCAGGTAAGCGTAAACAGTGCCAGCAAAAAGTAAATAGCCAGTCCGATGGACTGGACAGCCTCCAAGCATGGAAGTGGGTCGCCGACCATCTGTTGTTTTTCTACACAGAAAATTACGATTTAAATTTTTCTTAGTTTTAAGTTTAAGTTTTTAATATTGAAGTATTGAAAGATAATACTCTTAACTTCGAAATATATATCTTTAACTGACTTTTGCCAACGCCAAAAACCAAATATTTCTTCATTGATTTTCCTAATAAACGTAATAATGAAACTTTGCTAATTTGCCGAGATTTCTGTGGTTACGTTTACCGAAAATATATCAAAATCTCTGCTCAAATTATCTTTATTTTTCCCGTGTAGCTATAATCTCATTCTATTGCCGCAATTAAAGTCGCAACTAGCTGGAGGTTTGGAGTCTGCAGTTTTTAGTTTGCCGCTAAAGTCACGGCTTTGGATTTGCTTTGGTTTTTGGATTTCGCAGATTTCTGGCCCCTTCTGCGGGAAACTTTAGAGGCTTTATACATTTATGGTCTCATTAGTGTCAGCACATTTTTTATGCCTTTGATTTTTGAACATTTGTGTTTAGTTAAGTTTTGGCATTTTGGCAATGTACAATATAAAGTTTGGCAGTCACTGAGCCATCCAACTCCCACTCAGAGGGTATCGAATAACCAAAGATCTGAACCAAATGGGTTGACAAAGCAGCAAAGTGATAACGGAAGGAGAAGAAAAAAGGGAATGGCCAGTAAAAAAAGAAGCTGCACAATGGGACAAATGTGAGAAAATGTTAATAAATTCCTTAGCTCTTGAATTAATCGTATTTAATGATTTGAAATTACTAAACAAATATGTGATTAGGGAAATCTGCTTTTAAATTATTAAGGCCAGAAGTCCAGTAGAGAGAGTTCTAGTTTCCCGTAATGCCACCTTGGCTCTGTTTCAATTTTTTAAGCAAATATTTACACACATGCGCCAATATTAAACAACCGATCCATTTGCTGAGCAAACATGGGCTCTTTCTAGAACGCTTTAGCTGCGTCAGACTTTCTGAATCATTGGCCAACTTCCTGCTCATTAGCTTCTACATAACAATAATCCCCAATTGTCTTGGCCTAATGCTAAAAAGTCTTAAATTTTAACCGACATTTGATGTTTCCTCTGCCATTGTCTTTGCATCTTTGGCTCGTTTTGTGTTCTTTGTTGTGGAAGAATCTCCGATTCCGCTGATGTCTGTTCTTCTCAAGTTGCAGCCCAAGAGCCCAGGCTTCAACATCAATTTATGTAATCTGCCAGCTCACAAACAAACAACACACACACACACATACAGAAACACACGAAACACACCGTGGATGCTAAGTTCTGGGTTTGGACTTGGACTTGGACCTGGACTTGGTCACATCATCTTATAAATTTAGCTCGTTTGCCGAAAGGGAGCAGAAATACAGGCAGAAGATGGGATGCCTGCGGTTAACCGCAGAGCCACTTTGAATCGCAGTTTGGAGCCTCGAACAATGCCGCCTGAACATCGTAAAACTTGAACTATACACTGAGAATAATTCAGTTTCAGAACAGGTAGAACTTTTACTATGTCAACTGAATAGATTTTGACTTTCAGAAAGCTTGTTTAAGCTATCCATCGAGTCTCCGTATTCTACATTCTAAGATTCGTTTCTTACTTTTAATCTCCCAAAAATCGGTTATAATTTCTCTCAGTACTTTGAGCAAGAGATGCGTTCTGAAAACTGGTTTTCCAGCCGCGGTTTCTGTCCAACATTCGCATTCCTATCGCCCAAGTTCGAGTGTTTGGCAATTTTGCGGCGCTGAACTTGGAATGGTTT